TGTTCATCTCTTAGAGATAAATGTTTTGTCATGATGGCTTGCCATTGGTTAATAATTTGTAGTAGTTTCCCATATTATATATATTTTCAGTTTAAAGATCCAAACTATCAATGTTCTATTCATAGGACAAAAACAATTTGGTTAATTGCAACTGTTGATAGATGGATGTATTGGACAAGATTATAGTTTGAAATATTTTTAATTTATTTGTTTCTTAAATAGTAATTGAAATATACCATTTTACTTAACAAATTGAATTTAAGCTTTTTGTTGCATAACCCTATTGTGAATCAACCAGATCTAATAATAGAGGTAAATTAGAAGGTGGAGTATAACAGTAAAATAGGGTCATGAATGAAGGATATATATTATTCAACATTCCAAAACTGGACATATCTACTTTATTACAACATGTTACTTCATTATATATCATTATATGCTGTATCCCCTCAGGATGTAGACAATCATGGCTCTCCACAACTTCCTGTCCTTTGTAGTGCTAATTAAATGTTGTCTTTTTGTTATTTCTCCTGAACCTTGTTCTGCCATCTATTTACTTAAGCTCATTAAGTATGTTATGCACCGTTCTCCTCTGTCCCTCTTGCCTTCAATCTGTTCTGTGAGTATCAGATTTTCCAAGGCCTCCTGCATCTACTGCAAGGAAAGTTGGTTCATTGTGTTGTGCTAAAAGGTTTTTCTCGTCAGAGTCCATCTTACACATCTACAAATCTACTATTTGTCCAGGCATTGAATACTGTTTCCATATCTGGTCTGGTGCCCCTGATATATCAAGGTGCTTAACAAAATCCATAGAAGAATCTCCAATATAATCAATCCTGACTTGACATCTCGACTTCAGTCACTTTCTCATAGTGATGTGGCTTCCCTCTGTCTTTTCTACAGATATTTTCATGGCAACTGCTCTGACAAGATTTTTTTTCCCTGGTGCTCCAACTACATCAATTTAAGCATGCTACTAGATTAGCATCTAGGTCCCACTCTTTTACTCTTGAAGGAGTTAAATGTAACTGCAACTTCTACTGCAACAGCTCCTTTTCTTGCACTTCCCACCTATCGAACTCCCTTCCTCTTACTTGCTTCCCTGATAACTACAATCTTCAGGGATGCAACATCAATCACCATCTTCTGTTGTCTTGAACCCCGTTCATCTTTTATCCTTTCCTCAATGCCCCCCACTACCTAGTCTTTTCTCCTATTTTCACTCTCTGTAACATTACTGTGGCACTACTACCTTGCTTGGGGTGAACTGTTTCTTGCCCCTTCTGTTTTTAATATGTCCTATGAGAGTCAAATTCCCTAAGTCCTCTTCCCTCATCACATGCCCTAGACATTTCAATTGTCTCTTTCTAAGTATAAGTATCCTTTTTGACTCCATTTTCCTTAAAACTTCCTTGTTACTCACATGTTCAACCTATGGTTTTCTCAGTATCCTTCTGTAGAACCATATTTATGTTGACTTGGGTTTCTTCTTTGTGGCAAGATTGTCCAGTATTCACTGTCATATAGGAGAACTGATATTACATAGCAGTTCAGCACTCTTTTCTTTATTTCTAATGAAATTTTCCTGTTTCTTAATGCTTTGCTTGGTTCTTGAAAGGCATCTTTTAGTGTTTCAATGTGCTTTCATCCATCTGTATGAATTTATTTCCCTCTCTGGTTATGGTTTAAACAGCAGAACTTCTATCTTGAAAAATCATTGTTATTCTCAAAAAGGAAATTAATGCAATACTCACTCACAAAAAAGGAATCATTCTTACAATCTAAAATATGTTTCAGCTTTAACTTGTTTACATTCAATCCACACCAAACTCACCCCATTGGCTCTCAATGATCAACCCACTGTAGCCCACCACGTGTATACTCTACCATAATATAAAACGGCATCATCGGAAATAATGTTGGGAGTCATGCAAATAGTGAGACTTTGAGATCCAATATTTACAGGGTGGATCTGATCATTTTGAATACTAAAGGGTTAAATAACTCACAGAAGGCTAAAAAAACTAAATCAACCACCAACTATTGGCATCATAAAATGTGGTAACAAAAGTAATTAGTAGTGTTAATTACTGCCATGTTATAGAAATAACCTGTTAACATTACACAGGATAAGCATGAGGGACTCAATTAAAAAAGAAAAATAAACCTGTATGCCAAAGCAAATCCACCAATTATTCATTTGGTTGGTTCTTCATAAAACACAGCAAGAAAAGTAAACTTTAACTTCACTAATATCCTTAAGTGAAAGACTTATCTTCTAACTTAAATAAATAATTGGTCATTTTGGTCTCCTTGCCATTTCTTGTCTTGGTCCCAAATACATGAATGCTTACATATTTTTGACCAGCTAACCATATCAGAAATGTAGCCAATCAGTCATTTGGACAGTCAGCCAAAACTCGCAGTTGAAGAAAGCAGGGCCAACTTGAAATCAGTGAACAGAAATGTGAGCATCAAACTTCCTGATGTCCTTTCATTCAGTTTGAATGCCGCCAGACGATTTAACTGGAGAAACTTACTTCTTCATTCAACATTGCACTTTCAAACAAAAGAATTCTACACTTAGTGAGAACACAACCACCAACCTGGGAAGAATCATCAACTGTAATTTCTTACACATGTTTTCTCTTATTAGTACAGACTGCTTAAAGATATTTTTATAAAAAAATTAAAAAAAAAAGCTTTTTGGAAAATACATATTAATTAAATAAAAACAAAAATATACAAAAACATTTTTTTGTCATCCACTTTTTGCATGTCTCTATATGTAAGAAATATCTATATAAAAAGATACTCAAATATTGTTGCCTTTCTGCAACTTAAAGTTTCATGGGGATACCAATTTTTTATATGGCTGTTTCATAATATGTGAGTATTATTTTTTTTATTTCTTATATTGGCTCTCGGTATATATATATATATATATATATATATATATAGAGAGAGAGAGTTTATATCATAAAATAATCAATATATATATATAGAATGGAAGTGCTAGCCCTATGCCCAACTGGTTTTTAAATTCAGAGTTGTTGTTCTCTTAGAGTGGTTGCCAATCAAAGTTGAAGAACTGAATATGTGCTTCTTTTAACTCATAGGGAGTAGAGATGGATTCATACCTTTCTTAAAGGTAATTTGTATGGAAAACTGATTGTCACAAACTCAACTGCAATTCAAAATCAATTTTGCAATTTCTTGTTCTGTGTCACTGACCATTACACAGCCTGCACATCTATACATAATTATAAAGACAATCACAAATTAACAGTTCATAGTTTGAGATTATTCAATTACTGAAGCATAAGTCACAGAATGTCGTTCAATAAATATCAGTTTTATAAGTTCTATTTTATCCTTTCAAACAAATTATAATTACCAATTCTGAGATGATAATTGAATAAGGAATTGAGTAAACCCAGGATTCAGAGGAGATGAATATAAACGAGAATACTGAAAATTATCACTATTGAGCATCAAAAATACAATCAAACATCAAAGCTACTCCGATGAAGCTGAATTGTCCTTATCTCACTCTTATTACAAATATGAAGAGAAAGTTCCATTTAGCTTTTTCCCCAAGAAATGATATTTTGTAGAAGAGACTCTCACATGTAATCTTCCCTGAACACTACACTTTTAATTTCTTCAAGCTGTATCAAATTAAACCTCTTTCTGATTCACTCCACATCAAAACCTGTCAGCTACAAAAGCAAAACAATAAAAAAATAAAAAAGTTGAACTCTGCACAGGGGCATTGAAAATCAGAAAATCAATTGGGAACATTACTGCTAAAGCAAAAACATGAAAAAAAAGCTGAGTCATGTATTCACCCTGACTGCTTAAAAGAACTCACTCAGTGACTCTCCAGGTAGTTCACAATGGTTTCTCAATCAACAGAACTGATGCAAACTTTAACACAAGTCCAGCATACAATCAACTTTTCTACAAGAGACATTCTACTCTTGATCCAATGTATACATTGTTAATACAGATAATTTTATCTTTAACACATCTTGTCTCTTTTTCTTTTCACTTCAACAGCAATACATTCTTGTTTTTCATTTGTTATTCTTGCAACCATACACTAACCTCCAGGTGGGTGACTCATTTAATCTTCTTGGACTAACATTTTCAGCTGGCATGAAATGAAAAGATTATATTGAATCAGTTGCTAAGTCTGCAGCTAAAGTTGGCTCACTATTGCATGCTAGGCAATTTTTCTTACCAGAATCTATCTTACATATAAGTCTACTATTCATCCTTGCTTTGAATATTACTGCTACATATGATTTGACAGAGATTCTTGATAAAAATACAAAGAAGAATTTATAATGTTATTCATCTTGACCTGGCATATTAGCTTCAGTCTCTTTTCCACCACCGTAATGTAGCTTCCCTATGTCTTTTCTATAAATACCTTCATTGTAATTATTCTGATGAATTTTCTACTGTGGTACCTAGACTTTATGAATTTAAGCACAGTACTAGATTGGTGACAAAGCCTCATCATTTTACATTTGAAATGGCTGCTAGATGTAAACCGTAAGTTCTATGCTAACAGCTTCTTCTATCACACTTTTCCTTTCTGGAACTCTTCTCACTTCTTGATTTGCAGTCTTCTTTGATCTTCAAAAATTTAAATGCAATGTCAATCATTATTTTCTCTCTTCTTAATTCTTATTCTTTTATTGTCCTCTCTCCTTAATACTAGTTTTTCTCATATTCTCTAACACACAGTAACCTCTTGCATCCTAGTGGCTTTATTGCATATCTTGGGGTGAAATGATTTTAAAAAAAGTCTATAACAATCTTCAGTTCCTACACCATTACTTACATTTATATCACACACCCACCTTATTCATCATAACAATTTTGAGAGTAACCCCCTACCTTGAGTGGCTCTCAAGCTTTTTTTATTTGATGAACTTTAGTAGAAAAGAAAGATTAAAAATTATTATTAGGAAATAAAAAGCTCTTACGGTCATGATCAGGGATCCTATATGTACTATTTGCCTTTGCTTCAAGGACTGTAATATTAAGATGAAGATTGGTTGGCTGAAATAAAAAAGGGGTAAGTTGGTTTATTGACTCAAAACAAGAGTTGGTGATTACTATTTATAATAGTGGAAACACATTATTTATACCATTTACATTTTAACTATTGTCCTCATCTTTGTTGTTATCACATCCAAAACATAGTGATAACAACAACAAAAATGAGGACAATAGTCCAAATGTAAATTGGGTAAATAATGTTAACTCCTCATCTCAGAAATTCAGTTAGAAATTGGCAATACATGTCTGATATACAAAATAAGTTTTTGTAACATGATATCATAGACAGGATTAAACAATGAGATAAAGTTTTTCATTCATTCAATAATAACAAAGCATATACAAAAAAAATTCAGAGATTTTATTGCAAGTTATTTTACTTTAGAAGTATTGGTTGACACTGGCTTGATGTTTTTACACAGCTAACATGGTAGCAGAGCAAAACAAAAATATTAAATAGATTACAAAAAAAAAAAAATTGTGGCTGACACAAAAAAAAAATTGTGGTTGACACAAAGAAAAAAAAATAGATTACCAAAACAAAAGGAAATTTGTGGCTGACACAAAAGAAACAGATTACCAAAACAATTAAATCTATTTTTTCCAAACCCCCCCCCAAATAGCCAGTTTCAAAAACCCAACAAAACTGGTAAGCACCCAACTATATGAAACATGGATGAAGGAATTGAAATAGTGGGCAATTTGTTGCAAAATTGAGAAAAAATGAACAAACACCAGCAGTTCTGTTAGCTTATCTTTGAAGGGCAGAGTCAGAGAGGCAGCATTGGAATTGCCAATTGAAGAGCTAAATCCAGATGATGGCCTTGATAAACTAATTGCTAAACTGGATGAACTCTTTCTAAAAGATGAGCTTCAGAGGATGTACATAGCATGTACTGAATTTAAAGAATACCAGAGGACAGCAGATATGTCCATTGAAACCTATATTAATGACTTTGAGAGAGAAAGACTCTACAACAAAATTAAGGCTTTCAAGATTGACATGCCAGATCAAATTAGAGTATACAGTCCTAGAAAAAAGTAAAACAGAACTCATAAGAACAACAATTTTTAAATTGGGATATGAGGAAATGAAAGTACAACTTAGAAAATTAAAACATAGCACTACCCCAAAAGTAGAATAGAACAAAAGCATCATAGATATACCAGCAGATACTTTCTATGTGCAAAAGAATATTTTGTGGGAGAAGTAGGGTAGCTGGAAGTCAAGGGAGCAACAGAAGAGATGATTAATTGATTAAGCTGAAAGAAAAACAAAATGTTTTTTTTTTGTAAATCCATCCTTCACTGGGCAAAGATTTGTCCTCATCATGCAAATGGAGCACTTTCTGAGGAGGAAGTGAACATTACCTTGTTTGCCAAAAGTCTAGACCTAACACATCATGGAAGGTTACTTGGTGAAACATTTGGATGTGCTGTGCTTGTTGGTTGTTGGTTGTTTTGTTTTATGGTATATCAACCTCAGTGGGTCATTTAATTCCAACAAAATTTTGAAATAGATTCATAGCAATAGTTTGGTGAAAAAGGTGTGTATGTATACATATATATTTGAACCATTTTTCAATTATTCATATTTTTGAGTACAATCCAACTTCTTTTAGGAAATTTACAATCTTGGATGGTTTTATTTTCATAAAAAGTTTTTTTAAATTACTCACTTGGTAATATTTTAAATCAAAATCTACACACTCTAACAGTTTCACTGTTAGTTAATTATTTGCCCATAGCTGGGAGCCTAACAGGTGCTACCACACTGGGTCAGGGTGGACATGGAAACACTAACAATTAAGAGGTGGTTCCATGCTCCTCAAAACCTCTTGATCAGAGACCTTGAATGTTGGATGTAGTTTATCGTCTTACCCTGGACATGGATGTAGTTTATAATCATACCCAGGATAGGTACTGTGCTGGATAGCTGTTGTACTAGGAATGTATGCTCTGAAAATTGGTTGCGATGTTATATTGATGAAAGGAGCAAGAAACAAATAAGTTACCAAAGCAGTGACAGGAAATTCCATTTTGGTCGTAACAAAGTGTACCCTTCACTAACTTTTGTGAAGATTCTAGCCAATATAGGTACCAAAGAGATAACAATTGAAACTAATGTTATCAGTAATGATATACCTCTGCTTCTTAGCAATGATGCAATGAAAAAAGTAAAGACCACAATTAACTTCCAAAAAGACAAAGCCATTATGTTCAGGAAAGAAAGATATCTCAAATTCTCATCATCAGGGTATTTGTGGTACTAATCAACAAAAACTTCAGAGCAGCATATCAGGATAATGAAAATAAGCCAGTGTATGCATATTTTTCTGACTTTCATAAAATTATGCAAGCAAATGATGCAGAAAAAAAGAAATTATATATAGATTCATAAACTGTTCAGTCATGCTAGTGGGAGTAGACTGAAGAAACTTCTAATTGATGGTGGCACTGATGACAGAGCAATGCTGAAGACAATTGAAACAATTCATGCAAAATTGCCAAATATGTATAAAATATAAGAAACCTTATTTTCATGGCAAAAAGATTTTTTCCCTGGTGCCAAATATGTTCCTCTGTGTTGTGTCGGAATACCACCCTAAGAAACTTGTCTGCCCAAAGACTTTAAACCAATTCTTAGTATATGTTCCTTTCTGTCTTTTAAAGAACATTGTTAATTGGCGAATCAACATCATAACACTGTTAAAGAATATAATGATTTGAATTTGTTTTGGATGGAAACTTGATCTTGCATATAATTGACCATACCACCAGATTTAATGTGTTATTGTATCAAAAAGAAGCAAGACTGTGGTTTCAGCAGTATTATCTGTGTGGGTCTTACTTTTGGGTCTACCTAACAGGATACTCATTGACAAGAGAAAAGAATTTTCCAATTATAATTTTTGAAAGATGAGAGAGAAACTGAATACACAGATAGTGAATACAGCAGCTGAATCCCCCTGGAGCAATAGAATAAATGAGTGCCATAATGCCATACTGACAGATTAAAATGAAGGAAGATACAAAATGTTACCTAAATGATGAATTGACATGGGCAGTCTCAGCAAAAAATGCCTTAGCTAATATCCATGGCTATTCCCCAAATCAGTTTTTGTTTACAAAAAATCTAAATTTTCCATCTGTTCTCAGCAAACTACCAGCCCTTGATGACACCTAAAAATTTGAAGTTCTTGTAAAAAACCTAAATGCACTTCACTCAACTTGTCAGCCTTTATCTCAGCAGAATCCAGTGAACAGATTCAATGTGCATTGAGAGCAGGAACAAGAGATTTCACATCGAAAATATACCAACATGGAGATACAGTTTACTACAAAAGATAGGGAATGTCAGCATGGAAGGGACCTGGTTGTATGATTGTGATGGTGAAATATGGATCAGTGTACATAAGGGTTCATCCAAGCTGCTTAATGCATGAGAATGCTGAATTTGAAACCAACACCAATGCAAATAAGAACACAACAAGCAAGCACAAAACATTTTCAAGAGCTTCTATGGCAGAAGAGACAATCAATAATGAGGATATAATTCATGAATCATCAGAGACTACTGTTTCTAATCAATCTGAAGTAATTCAAGACTCTATGGACCAGGGTGAGGTGCAAGTCTTCAATGACAGCTTCTATCTAGAAAGCCAACTACCTAAAAGCAACCAATATATTCTAGCAAGAATGGTAAATGATGAATGGAATAAATATGCCATCATTACCCGGGCAGGTAATTATGCTGAATGAGTAAATGTTTATGACAAAACCTTAGATAAAGTCTTAAGTATTGATTGGAATATAACTGTCAAGGAATGGAAGGAGATTGAGCCTGAAGAAGCTTTGATTGGCAATTCTCATTCTCCAGAAATGTTAGAGGCAATGTCTAAAATGGAGAGATTACAATGTATATAATGAAGTTGAAGACATTGGCTAGAAATTAATCTACAGAAAAGAATAGTAAAATAAAAGCTAGATTAGTAGTTAGAGGTTTTGGAGGTCAAACTCTCCAACCTGCTCAAAAATAAATCTGAGGGTGCTAATAGCAGTGCCAGCATCAAAAAGATGGAAAATCAAAGTGCATACCTACAGGGACAAGGACTTGACAGAAATGTATTTTAGAAGCTACCACCTGAAGCAAATACAGATAAAATTTGGCAGTTGAAAAAATGTATGCATGACCTCAATAAAGCTGCAAGATAGTGGTATTTGGATATTTCTAGGGAGCTGATTTCCTTACAGATGAGAAAGAGCAGGGCATTAAATTTGGGGCTTAGATGCAAGAGTTTCTGGAAAATTGTCAGTGTTGACACCCAACCACATTTGGGGTTCCACTCCAGGTTTTCTGTTTGGATTTACATGTATTTGATTTTATGATGGTAATTTCCATGTTTGAATGTGAGAGGTTTAAAATCAGTTTTTCCTTCCCACTAGATAGACTGCATTTCTGGGTAGACAAACCCCATCTACTTGAAGCAGGTGGTTATGAGGTGCCAGTTGTCAGCATTTTGCCTATTCTCAGGACTGTGTGTATATATATATATATATATATATATATATATATATATATATAAAGTGAACATTCAAGTCAACACTCAAAGGCGACAGGCTGTTTCATGCTGGACACAATCGTCAGGCCACAAATGCTGGATATTTCCTTGGCTATTTATATATATGGATCAGTGGTGCATTGGGGGTAATCTATTCTGGTGGTCATTTTACGGGAGTAGCTTGTTTGTTTATTTGTTTATTTATTTGTTTGGGTTAATTTATTTTACTTGTTTTTCATTTTCATTTTGTATTATTTATTCTTTTCGTTTTTTGATGTTTTATTAACATAGTAAAAAATTTTGGCGGGTGATTTGCTTAGGTTGCTTAGTTTGTTTTGGTCTGGAAAGATAAAGCTATTTATTCATCCAATGTTTAGATAGCTTGCCATAGTCTATTCTGTTATTTTGGTAAGTGGACAATTTTTAATTTATTTATTT